GGTACCGATTAAAATTGGGTTTTCAAATAAGAAGAATTTTCTGAAAAAAATAATTTGTCTTTCTATTATATGATTCAACGTTTTTGCTTCGATTGGTATCTGGTAATAGTTATTCAATTCTCTATACTTCTGTTTTACATCAGACATCTGAAATCATTATATTTTTAATTTTTATATTAGGTTCTATTTACTATACCGTCAGATAAAGTAGAAATGTTTACTTTACGCTGTAAAGTGATTACATAGTCCAATCGCTTTTCGTAAGGCAACGTACTTGACAACAAATAGCATCGTTTAAGTTGATCTATAGCCCACAAATACCTATTTTTTGAGTCTTCTGAAATTGTGTTACTTGTTTTTATAATAATATGTTCATTATACTTCATTGGCTTCAGAGACGGATTTACACGATTGCCGCCCCTAGGCAATTTTTTTTTTGGCGCCTATTAAACTTATCAACGAGAAAACGTATTTTTAAATACTTATTTAACATAAGTACTAAAAAAACAAGTAATAAAGACTGAAACTAAACAATAATTAATGGCGGTTATGTTAATAAACTGTTCTAATCAAGTAAATAGTATAACAATACAATATTTACCTATTAAAATATAATACATCACCATTTTTTTGAATAAATTTGCTGTACCAATCAAATATAATTATAATATAGATAATATGGAACAAATCTAGTTTAGCACCCCCTCGAAATTTTGAGTTTTTTTTTTTGTAACCTATGTATTTTGACGAGTTTAGAACGATGGTGTAAAAATAAATTTTCGGAAATGATTAGTTTTGAAGTTATAGACTTGCGAAGTTTACGATTTTCGATGTTATACTCATGCGCGCAACGCTCTATTTCAATGCTTTTATAACGAGTTTTTAAATTATTTTTTTTCGGAATTTCTTTCTATTTATAATTTTATCTAGGCTTGTAATATAATGGATTTACTAAAGATAAGATTTAGTTTTTGCCATAATCATAAAGGTGAAGTTAAACTACAGATTAACTTTCAGTATAATGTGGGCAGTGGCCAGTGATGCCTTGCTAGCGGCACTCGTCGCTGCGCTCCTCGGCGCCGTCGCTGCGCTCCGCAAATCGAAAATATCCCTCGACTTGCTATGCAACACCACCTCAAGTAGGTCACAGGGTAAGTTATGTTGTATTTATTTTTTCACTATCGTTCTAAATTCGTTGAAATATCTATGTTTCCGAAAAAAATAATTTGTTTCTTTAAAAAGAGCGTTAAAATAGAGCGTTGCGCGCATAGTAAAACATCAAAAATCGTGAACTTCGCAAGTCTATAACTTCAAAACTAATCATTTCCGAAAATTTATTTTTACACCATCGTTCTAAACTCGTCGAACTTCATAGGTTTCAAAAAAAAAAAATCGAAAATTCGAGGGGGTGCTAAACTAGATTTATACCGATAATATAATTAAGTTCCTTCAAAAAATTCATGTTTTCAATCAAATTTAAATTATAGTATTATAATTATTAATTACAGTCAACTCGCGATATAACGAATTTCAAGGGACCGAGAAAAAAATTCGTTATATCGAAAGTTCGTTACATCGAAATTATATTATACCGCGATATTTTCAAGGGACCGGTAGTTTTATTCGTTATATCAAGATTTTCGTTATATCGATATTCGTTATATCGCGAGTTGACTGTATATCTTTTGGATAGAAAAAGTTTTATTTTTGTACACATAATGCATAGTACGTACGAGTATATTATATAAAAATATTCACAGTGACTGGTTTATAATTAGACTATCGTTCCAATACGAATCGATCGTCACCCGTATTCGTATTAAATATATCATATCTATATGTATTGTGCGTGTAGTGTGTGTACGCCGTTCGATCAAACGAACCACGAGCGATTATTAATAATTATTACGACTTAGCAAAAAAACAAAATAACGAAATAATATGTTATCTATGTTTAGTATTTAGATAATAGATCTACGTTCCGGCAGTCGTTTGATAATTTACTTGGACGTTTATTGTTATGTATTATAAAATAAAGAAGAAATTATATTAACAAGAATATTATTATACTTAAATATTAAACATTTTTTTTCCATCCTTCAGAGTAATGACCGTACATTAGAAAATCAAAAAGAAACCTAGAGTATTCTCAATAAAATATTGGTCTAAAATTGCCGCCCCTAAAAATTTGCCGCCCTAGGCAACTGCCTACTTTGCCTGACGCTAAATCCGCCACTGATTGGCTTACACCATAATTCATCCAAATGCATCAACAATAAATACACGAGAATAATGTACATGATTTTGGTTTGGAGAATATAATATTACGTCTTTACTCTTTAGATTATAAACTTTAATTCATTTACTATTAGTTACTCAAGGTATATATTTATTATTTATGTTTGTATATTAAATACTATCGGTTGTCTAGACTATTAAAATATATTATTATTATTAATATAATAAAACAAAATTGAATTAGGTGATCGATCTTTCAGAATATGATAAACATTAATAAATTGTGTATTAGTGTATAATAAATCTGAACATAGGTGGATTGGGGAGAAATTTCGGCCCGAGAAAATACAAATATATTATACCGGCCCATTTACTAATTTACCAAATATTGAATTTCAGCCAACATAATATTATTATGTATTATTATTTTAACATAACCATACATTTTTTAACACATTTGGAGAGATGCAATTTATTAGACTCTATCAAACTTTATTAGTAGTATATACATTGATATCAAATTTATTTTAGATTCTGAGCGGAGCTATGATTGTATTTATTTTACAATGATGAGTGTTTTTTTAATTTTTTGTGTCTGTGTAGACGATATAAGTAGTTGAAATAATGATTCGATTTTCAACTTCTCTACTTCAGTATCTTGTTTGATGGGAAAGTGAGTCTAATTGGTGCATATTGGTGCATATTGGTGCATTGGGGAAATCAAAATTAACAGTAGTTTTCAAAAGCATTGGGGATAAAAATAAAAATTAAGGAAAAACGGGAATTTTTACGGAAAATTGGTTTTAGACAAAATGGATTTTGGCTTTTGGTATAACTCTAAAACAAATGACCTTAGATATATAAAATTTTCAATGATTGTTTGTTTTAGAATTTGCTATATAGGTACACAATTCAAAATAATTTGACTTGTTTCGAGCTGTAAGCAGACATTTTCAGTTTCCAATTGTTTTAGGTTTTTTAATATACGTCAATACAATTTTATTCGTTGGATCTAATATACAAGTGTCATTTTTTTTAAAGAAGTTCGGATTTTGACAAAATAAGTAAAAATCAAGAAAATTTACAAATTATTTTGAGATAGAAATTTAAAAAATGTTTTCTTTTTAAATCTAGTACTTCAAACGTAATACAAGATTCCTCATAAGTTTGTCTAGGTACCTATATCAAAAAAAAAAAAAAAAAATGTCTATATGAAAGTCAAATTAAATTTTTATGAGCGTTTGAAGAACAAATTTTTACAACATTGGATATTCACTCAATTTCTCAAGTAGCGTTTTTCTTATTTTGTTGTATTTAATTTAAAAACGAATAACAGTAAAAACTTGAAATTTATACCATACCTGCCTATGTTAATTTTATCGACTCATATACTTGATAAAATTTTCAAAATATTTTTTACTGTTTTCGAGCTGTAACTCTAAAACAAATGAACGTTAATACATGAAATTGTCACTGGTTGTAACTTGTAAATATTAGCAAAAAATTTTGTTTTGAACTGCTTACGGACATTTTCAGTTTTAAATTTTTTTTGTCTTTTATTCATATATGTCAATAAAATTGTTAGTAGTATACTAGTATATATAATATATAGTACTATATTGTATTAATTGAGTCAAAAAAGCGTGAAAAATTAATGAGCAGAAATTTAAAAAATACATATTAAGCACAATTTTTTTATAAGTATTTAAAGTTTGAATTTTAGCTAAATTTATTAAATTTAAAATTTAAAAATGATTTTGTAAGTATGTAATTGCTTTGATGTGGGTAATGGGTATACATAGTAAGTTCTTGAATTGAGTACCTAGGTCACTGTAATGGATATTGTGTTACATTTGAATTCAATGATAAATCATTGCATACACAAAACGATGTTGAGCGGAGACAGTCGTTCAGCCTATATAAATGTTATATTTTATTATGTGTTATGACATTATGACAAATATTATTTCAATACATATCAGATAATTACAATATTATAATATACTAGCTGACCCCGTGCACTTCGTTGCCCGTTAAAAATGCCAACTATATGTGATCCAAACTTTGATAATTGAAAGCTATCATTGTTTAGGCTGTACGTTGATCTTTTAAGTTTTATTTTCGCGAAAAAAAGTGTAGTCTATGTCACTCAGGAATAAAAGCTTCCTGGCAAAAGAATTTCTACAATCGGTCAAGTAGTTTTAGAGATTTTTGCGGACAAACGCAAACAAACGCTATTTCATTATATGATAAAAAGTAATAGTAAGATAATTTAAGACAAATGTTTAACAGTCCAAATTATACTTATAATATAACATTATACCTATATTCTATAATTTATAATATATATCGCTATTATATATTATTCTGTTTGAAAAAAAGTAACATAATATACCGGCGGTTACAAAATGCAATGCATTTTCTTTGTTTTCTAAAAGATTTCACTGTATATAATATATAATAATGTTTAACACTAATTTTCGTTTTATTAACGTTTGTATTTTGTATCGATCATTTGGCATTTGCAATAATTATAAATAACTATAATTTACTCCACCGTGCAGGATCGTTCTCGACGGATAATGCAAAATGGATTTGACGTTGAGATGATACGAGAGCGAATTTGATCATAGCTGCGACCACGGAGTTTGTCGACGATGTGTCAGAGCAGGTTCGTATGATTTTGGAGCAGAGCGATCACTCGATGCGACGTACTGTGGATAATAGCTTGGCCGAAAGAGATCATTGATGGATCATTAGAAATGTCACCTTTTAGGGGATTCATCGACGGGCTGTTGGATGAGATAGTATGTTCGGCTGGGGAACTCAGTCAGTACCATTGGTCTGAGTCTATGATTTCAGACGACAACCACGACGACGACGATGCAGAAGGCATCCTGCACCTGTCGCGCTCAGCTGTTGTTCAGTTTGATTCCGCTAGAGAACTGGTTGTGGTGAGCACTAGGTATTTTCATGAAGATCGGGTGTCCCTGGACACGGGAGTGGTAAGTATCGCTAGAGCAGATCAGGTCAACGGAACAAGCGTAAACCTTCACGAGAAGCGTCACCAAATCGAACTAACGCCGATGATACCACTCCGGAGTCCGGATCGGATTCCAAATACCCGAAGAGTCCCCGACTTCGTCCGTCAATGAGGAGAATGCATGGGTATCCGACCGGAAGCAGATGTTGCCTTTGGATTTGCAGCCAAATCATCCGTCAGACGAAAGGCATTTGTGGTCATCCGCGAGACTATGGTCGTCTTAACTGGTATGTACCAATGAGGCTGGAGTAAGTGGTCACTGAGCCGACGCCAAAAAATTTAGGTCGTTCCTGTCGGCACTTGGGAGGCATATTCTGAGTGCGGCCAGAAAGTTGTGTTGGTGCGGCGGTGGTCGACGAGACGGCGGAGAGCTACGGACACACTGTTAGAATTAATATATTATTTAAAAGTGTAGTGTGTGCAAATATGACACCATGGAAACCGTTTATACATGGAAGCCGTTTGGACGTAGTTTTCTGAGAATGACGATAAGGACATTAACGCTCAGAAGATACGATACGTTGTAGATATAGTGTCCACTACAAGACGTGGCTCCATTACCAGAAGCTATGGTCTGCAAGTGAAAATAATTTTGTAAAAAATAACCACCACTTCCTGTTGAATTCTACCTACCTACGTATACAGTTGCGATTTTTAGGTATCCGCCCGTGGAGGATCCACCGAATTTCAGAAGACGGAAAAGCGGCACACACGCCTACATATACATTTCACATGTATACTCGTTGCCAACCAAAGTTATTATTTATTATATCCTGTAAGTTGAATCTATATTATAATAGGTATTATTATTTTTTATTCGTTTCTATGGTGATAAAAAAAGCGTTAGAAATTAAAATCCCATTTTTAGCGGTTTTTAGTAATTTGAAGGTGGTTTTTCCTGTGGAATTAAATAACTATTGAGAAAATCGAAGAATGACCTTTCTAAAGTATCATCTTGATCTAATTATTAAAAGATAAGGTACTATTTGTTGAAATCGAAGCACTCCTTCTGGTAGATATTTGTATACAGGATATATATATATATATAAAAAAAAAAATAAACACCATTGTAAAACCACTAGCTTCCTCGCTCTGCTCAGAATACATTAAGTGTCTATAAAGTAAATTATACAATATACCTAACACTGTAAGCTCCAGAAAATTAAATAACAGTAATAAGAACCAAAATTGGAAATTCTTTAATTAGTTTGGCTATTAGTTTGGATTAATATTTAACTAGGTAATCAATAAAAATCGAAAATCGGACTTCTTGCGATTCTAGATGAAGTTCTCCTCTACAATTTTAAACATTCTTTGTAGGAACTGTAAAAATTTAATGATATAGTAATATTTAAGATTAATGTAGATATAATATAATATAACATAAGTCAAAACAAATAAACAACAATACAATACACGTAGGCGTAACATGTGTACCTATTGTATATTAATTGTATATTTATTTGTACATTTTATTATATTTTGTCAAATAGAGACACTGATACTTGATAGTGTTTACAAAATGTTATTATAATTGTTAGCATATTATTATAATATTATAGTTTTTTACTATTGTTATACAATATACACATTACACTTATACTTACACCCCAAGTTTGCTAACCATTTTATTCGACCAAAATGATTCGTCGTAGGTATTCAATAATTTGAACTTTAGACCAATTTTCGGTATATACTACAGTCTACAAAATAACAAAATTTTCTTTTTGAGACGTGCATTTGGCCTTGAATCTGATAGTAGTAATTATGTTCTTTTTTCAATTCCATTTCATTTTCATTTTAAATACGACAAAATGTTATCTAAAAATGTATATTATATTTAAACATTTAGTACATATACCATAATTTTAATTTTTATAATTAAATTTTACTTTTTTATTCATTACGGCTTTAATAAACCTGGAACTGTCTTTAGCTTTGAATGGGCACATTATTTCTACGACATTATCAGTTCCCACAAGACCATCTATCAATGAAATATAATACAACTTATTCATAAATATACCTACATATTAATAGTTATTAAATTTAATTATTTTTGATTATTTTACCGGGAGTAGCAGCTAAATAATGCAATTCGTCATCCACTATAAGACCGCAAGGTTCAACAGCACAATTAAATCATTTTGGAATACGATTATGGCTTTATTCTCCATTGCTTTACCATAATCAGTTGATTTAGAAGTAAATGACCTGTACAACATATCGTAAACTGTAGACCTACATAATGTAGTTGGTCGCATTTTACAAATCCGACCAAAATTTGAAGCTGTTATTCGGTTACGTTCGTGAACTTAGCGGCAATCATGTAACAGATTTCAATTAAACCTATCCAACAATTTTGTTGGACGTTTGTTGGACATTGTTGGAAAGGTTTTACAATTTGTTGGACCGTCATTAAAAAGTTATAAACATTTTTCCAAAACAGCCGCTAAGTTCACACTAACGGCCAACATTAAATCAAACACATAATAAACTATACAAAATTGTTCTCCACGGTTTGTTGGACATTGTTGGAAAGGTCCCGCAATTTGTTGGAACTCTGTTTATTTCATCCGAATTTTTGAAAAAGTGCCGCTAACTTCACACCATCTGTCAACTTTTTGTAAAAGTTCCAAAAGCCATCCAAAACGGTTCTATATGGTTTGTTGGACGTTGTTGGAAAGGTCCTAACATTTGTTGGAACTCTGTTTATTTCATACAAATTTTTGAAAAAATGCACTTGGAAAACTTTTTTTAAAAGTTCCAAAAGCCATCTAAAACGGTTCTATATGGTTTGTTGGACGTTGTTGGAAAGGTCCCGCCATTCGTTGGAACTCTGTTGATTTTATACGAATTTTTGAAAAAATGCACTTGGACAACTTTTTTAAAAGTTCCAAAAACCATCCAATACTGTTGGCGACAGTTTGTTGGACCTCTGTTGATTTTATACGAATTTTTAAAAAAGTGCCCCTCGGCCAACTTTTTTAAAAAGTTCTAAAAGCCATCCAAAACGGTTGTAAACCGTTTTTTGGACGTCGTTGGAAAGGTTCTGCCATTTGTTGGAACTCTGTTTATTTTATACGAATATTTGAAAAAATGCACTTGGACAAATTTTTTAAGTTAAAAAAGCCATCCAAAACAGTTTTTTCTGTCTGTCTGTCTGAAACAATTTGGATGGTAAAAATGCTCCACTTTTGATTTTTCGATTTTCTCTATAGTAAAAAACCAACGAAAAATTACAAACAATCGCTAAAAAAATATAATTCCTAACACTTAGCTTATAACCATGGAAACGAAAAAAAAAATAACTAATTTATCAACCGTAATAATAATAAGTGAAATATTAAATACCAAAAAATGCTAATAGCTCAGAATCATTTTTCGTATACAATGGCTTATCGTTGTATTCAAATATAACACAAACATTGCAAAAACTGTAAAGCTTGACTACACTTTTAATATTTTTTTTTATTTTTTTTTTAATATTTTTATATAATAATTAAAGTTGAATTAAAATAAATCATTTTTTACAAAATTTAGGATTTTCTTGAATAATAGTATTATCCTGTTGTTGTGGCTTTCAGGTATTCAATTTTAACCTCTATACTGTATTTAAATATTTTATGTCTGATGACATACATAAAATTAAGGTTGCTGTGAAGTCAGGGGAAATTTTTTAAAAATTCGTATGAAATAAACAGAGTTCCAACAAATGGCGGGACCTTTCCAACAACGTCCAACAAACCATATAGAACGGATTTGGATGGCTTTTGGAACTTTTAAAAAAAGTTGGCCGATGTTGTGAAGTTAGCTGCACTTTTTCAAAAATTTGTATAAAATCAAAATAGTTCCAACAAATGGCGAGAGCTTTAAAACAACGTCAAACTAACTGTCGCCAACAGTATTGGATGGTTTTTGGAACTTTTAAAAAAGTTGTCCAAGTGCATTTTTTCAAAAATTCGTATAAAACAAACAGAGTTCCAACAAATGGTGGGACTTTTCCAACAACGTCCAACAAACCATAAAGAACCGTTTTGGATGGCTTTTGGAACTTTTAAAAAAAGTTGGACGATGTTGTGAAGTTAGCTGCACTTTTTCAAAAATTTGTATAAAATAAACAGAGTTCCAACAAATGTTAGGACCTTTCCAACAACGTCCAACAAACCATATAGAACCGTTTTGGATGGCTTTTGGAACTTTTACAAAAAGTTGACAGATGGTGTGAAGTTAGCGGCACTTTTTCAAAAATTCGGATAAAATAAACAGAGTTCCAACAAATTGCGGGACCTTTCCAACAATGTCCAACAAACCGTGGAGAACAATTTTGTATAGTTTATTATGTGTTTGATTTAATGTTGGCCGTTAGTGTGAACTTAGCGGCTGTTTTGGAAAAATGTTTATAACTTTTTAATGACGGTCCAACAAATTGTAAAACCTTTCCAACAATGTCCAACAAACGTCCAACAAAATTGTTGGATAGGTTTAATTGAAATCTGTTACATGATTGCCGCTAAGTTCACGAACGTTATTCGGTTTCTTCTTTCTGTGTGCCAAATTTGTGAATTAGCCTGTTCTCTAGTTTTAATTTCTAATTCTATGCGTTTGTCGTGGTCCAAGTAAAGTGACTGAATGAATGCACATTTTTTTGATTTCAGTTCATTCGAAGGTATATCATCGAGTAACGGTTCAGCCAGGCCGCATAATGTTGATCCGGACCCGTTTGTTTAGACAATTTTTTTACTTTTCTTGAAAAAAGAATTTTTTTACATTTCTTTTTTCACTTTTCATTTGTTTTGTTTTCAAATATTTTTTCCCAATATCTCCTACAGAAGGAAAATATTATATTTATTATTAATTATAAATTATTATTTTTTAATGACATATTAATAAATTATGACTATTTTACCTGGACTTATTTCATTAACTACCTACATTTTTGTGTAATTTTCTAAAAAACTCCCCTGAAGTATTATAATAGTAGTTATACTTTATTTTTTAAGAACACACATTTTATTTTATCTACGCACTTGTTAAATATAAGTCTTAGGAATTTAATTTATGATTTATGTGTAATTAATATTTAATTTATTTAATATTTTAATATTTATATAATAATTTATAGTTGTTAATTATATATATTATATTATTATAATATGACATTTCGTTCGTAAATTGTAATAATTAAATATTTGTTATTTGTATACGATACCTACAATAAATGTTATAACATTCGAATTAATTTTGTTTTTTTTTTTTTTTACATAATTATTCCGATTCCATAGTTCATATTTTAAATATTATAATAATAATTTATTCATTCAAACGATTATAATATAATTATTATATGACATTTAATTTGTAATGATTGTTATATAATTATTATATGAAATTTAATTTGTAATGATTGTTACATATTTGTATACAATATACTATTAAACTATAATGTACACTAAATGGAATAACACTTGATTTAATTTTGATTGTTTTCTTATATAATTATTAATTATTCCGATATCGTAATAATTTTTTTTTTTTTTTTTATTATACCCAAATACGATAATTCAAGTAATACGGCTTATTGAAGCTGTTTACAGCAAAACTACTTATTACAAAAAATTGTAGAGAAGAATTTTTTAACAATCGTAAGAAGCCCGATTTTAGATATATTTATTAATTAGTTGAATAATTAATCGATAAAAAGTCAAAAACCGTGTTCATTTACCATGTGGTATTGGACGATTGGAATACAATTTCAAAAATCGGATTTCTTACGATTGTTAAAAAAAATTCTCCTCTACAATTTTTATAAAAGGTAGTTTTGTTGTAAACCGCTTCAATAAGCCGTATTACTTGAAAAACAAAAGTATAGTTTTTATTAGTATAAAATTCGGATACGAATACAAAATATAAAACCGAATAAAATTAAATAATATTATATGATAATCGTTTTCTTATCTGGGTATTTATAAACTATGTTCAGGCGCACGGCTACGATAGAAAACCGGTTTTGACGTATGGTGCGGTACTGCCGTTATCGCGCGCGGGGTGGTGCTATGAACACCAATAGCAGCGGTTCTTAACCTGTGGTCCGGGGCCCTTTGGGGGGTCCGCGATACTCATGTCGGGGCAGGCCCGGCTCAAGGGGTAGGCGACATAGGCCCACGCCTAGGGCGGCACATAAGCAGCACTTTAGTAAGAGGGCGGTATTTTCAAAATACTGATAATATTATATTATTAGGGGCGGCAAAATTTGATTTCGCCTAGTTCACTATTTTCGCTTGAGCCGGTCCTGTGTCGGGGGTCCGCGAGGCTGCCTCAACACATAAAATACATCAATAAGTGACAGAGTGCATTATTACAATATTATTGGATTATTATTTTTTTTTTCAAATATAATATGTAGATTCTACACCAAATAATTGTAGTATTAGTATTTATTAAGTAGCTATATGTAATCAGTTTTTCTTGTTCATACGAAATGTACATGCGTACAGCACTGTAGTCTCGGCAGTCTTATATTTACTACCACTTTAATTGCAGTTGATCGATCGTAGTATCGTACTCAATTATAGTTTTATATTACATTTTTATAAAGAATTAATTGTAATAAAAATAATTGGAAATGTGTATGTTTTGTTGTCTACTAATGTAATTTTTAATATAAAATAATTATTATAATTTTGGTTATGATAACACGAGATGTTTTGTAAAAAAATTGGTATGGGGGTCCGCGATTCCTAAAAATCTTTCATCAGGGGTCCGCGATCTACAAAAGGTTAAGCACCTCTGGGCGCTGACCTATAGTATCAAGCGCTGCAGCTGTCTATAACGGGCGCAGCACATGACTAGAGTAATATTAAACGTTTTTTTACCGAATAACATGGTTTCGTAATTCCAGGAATACGGCTTATTGAAGCGTTTTACAGTATAAATACCTATTACAAAAATTGTAGAGGGGATTTTTTTCTAGAAACGTAAGAGCCCGATTTTTGATATCTTGTCCCAATCGTCCAATATTGCATGGTAAATTAACACGTTTTTTTAAAACTTTTTATCAATTAATTATTTAAAAATATTGAAAATCGATCTTCTTACAAATCTAGACAATATTCTCCTGTACAATTTTTGTAATAGGTATTTATACTGTAAAACGCTTCAATAAGTCGTATTCCTGGAATTACGAAACCATGTTTTTATGCCATATTTTTTCTACTAGTGCGCTCTCTAATTAAAGTAAGAAACCAGTTTTTTTGTTCACCGTATTAGGAATCAACTCAGTGGTACCAGGATCGCATGGTATAGCAGGGACTAAAATTATGTGTAGTACGAAATACTGAGTGTGGAATACGAAATTAAAAAGTGTAGTGTAATGGCCCGGCGCATCCGAGTTGGGTCCCAAGTACTAGGGATAAATCACAGGTACAACACTAGTTGGGTCCTGGATTTTTTTAGGTACTACACTAGTTGGGTCCAGGATATTTTTGGGTACCACACTAGTTGGGTCTGAGATTATTTTAAGTAAATATACAATCCAAACGAAAAATGATATTGAACGATGGAGATGCACTCAGAGAACATGTAAGTCATTTTTTTAAATATTCCAACGATCAATTTATCAAAATTTATAAAAAACAAAATGAATCAAAAAAATGCAGGAATAATAAATCGATTTGATTTTGCAAATTTAATGTCTTAAAAAATTTTAAGAACACACGTGTGATTTCTTTAAACAATATTTTATTTATATTATACAATACCTATGTATTTTTTATATTTGATTTATAACAATTTTAATATTTTTCTTTGTTTAGTACCTGCATGTTATTGCCATTTATTATTCAAATAAAATTCTAATAATTTATATTTTTAATGGCAAATAAACTAAAAAAATAAATTGTAAAAAACATTTTTAACCATAACTTTGGTCTAAATAAACAGTCATAAGTCTGTTAAAAAGGGAAGGAAAATAAACTTATGTAGTACTCAAAAAAAAAAAAAAATTAAGACCTCAACTATTGTTGTACGTGTGAAAATTCCGGACCCAACTAGTGTAGTACCTGCATAAATCCCGGACCCAACTAGTGTAGTACCTGCAAAAATCCCGGACCCAACTAGTATAGCATTTTTGAATTCGGGACCCAATTCGGATGCAGCCTAATGGCCTGTATTAACTATGGTAGCTCTTTTTCACACATTTTTCTTCATTAATTGAAAAATTATTTCATGTTTCATTGGGAAATAGACATTTAAATATTAATTATTATTATTACGTTTTATTAGGAGTAGGTTTTACAAGTTTTACTTATAGATACAATATTTAAAATATTATAAAACAAAAATATTTCGAATTATCGATACAAATAATTATTATCAAACAATAGTTACTGAAAGTATTTACCTATATTTTTTTTAAAGAACCATTAACATAGGTATGTTGTTTCAAATCAAAAACAAAATGATATTATTGTTAATGTTTGAAAACTATTTACGATACAATCATTTTTTTAATGTTAAGTATTATTAAGCCTTGTATTTATTTATAATTAAATATTAACAATGTGGTAATTATATTAATTAGCTTTTAAAAAACATTTAATCAATCAATTTCATGTGATTGAGGGTACCTAATGTTGTAGTCTGGAAAGTTTTTTCCTAGAATCGGAGATTTTTATTTCGAAATTCACTGTCTATAAATGACTATAATATAGTATAATATTATTATAGTTCTGGGCATTTATTGTAATATTATGTATAATACGCGTAATTAATAATCGTACCAGTATACGGACATAAATCGTTTTATTGCGATATAGTCTATACTCTGTAGAAAAAGAAAAATAGAAATTGATTACTCTATGTTTATGTGTATAGATTCAATACACTTTTTTTTTGGTGGGTGGAGGGGAGGCAAAGCCCCTCAAGGTAACTCCAAGTTTAAAATAAAATGTGTAGCACGAAAAAAATTATATTTTAGCCTCTGTGGTATAGTGCTACTCGTCCAGTGTTTCTTCGGTTTCGTCGACGTCGTTGGCGACGGCATAGCCAAACAAAAATATTATATACTCGTTCAACGTCTCCACACCATAGGTTCCTGTTACTTATATTCAGATCGTTCGTCTTCACTTTTAAAAGGAGGTGTCACGGAAAAAAATCACTCGAAAAATTCCTTTAAAAACATTGTAGAGGAGAATTTTATCTGGTTCCGTAAGAAGCCCGATTTTTGAAATTTTCATTTCTAAGTCCTAAAATTAACTTCCGGAAAATTAAAAAAAAGTGTATTATTAATCATCATATATTTCATGATGTTTTAAAGATATCAAAAATCGGGCTTCTTACGGAACCAGATAAAATTGTCCTCTACAAATTTGTTCATAGGTGTTTTTACGATTAAACCACTCAGTAGCCCATATTATTGGAACGCGCAAAGTATGTTTTATAAGAAAACTGCAGAAAATTACGCTCGGCAAGTGCTGCGCCAGTAGGCAGTGGCAGCGTTCGATACTAGCCCTCGCGCATTAACGGCGGTACCGCACCATGGTCAAAACAGGTTCTCTATCGCAGCCGACCACCCGTACATAGCTTATAAATAACCAGATAAGAAAATGATTATTATATTTGTGACAAATACTATTTAATTTGGTTCGATTTGATATTTTGTATTCGTATCCGAATTTTATACAAATAAAAACTATACTTTTGTTCTTCAAATAGTGTAAGGCTCGGGCCACACGATGCGTTGTTTCCGCAGGCATCGAATGCGGCGATTCCGCTGCGGCAGGGTTTGAAACGAAAACACATTGTACCAAATACAAGCGTCCACACGACGCGGCATGCCCGGAAATTTCCGCGACCTGCCGCAACATGCTGCGGAATTGTCGTATTGCCGAAACCGGACACTAATGAAAATAATATTATTTTAAATCAAGCCGTCCAAACGGTCCGGTATTCCGCATGCGGTGCTGAAAAATTTTAATTAAATTGTATTGGTGAATAGTGCTATAAAATTTAAAAAAATGTTTGATCACGAAAAAATGATTATTGAAATTGAGTCGAGTCCATGCTTATGGGATGTCGGGTCAAAAGAGTATAGCGACAAACATTTAAGGGCCTTTTCTTGGAATTCAGTCGCTGAAGCCATGAATGCCGATTGGAATGAGCTCTTGCCATCACAAAAAGATGAAAGAGCTATGTTAAAATAATTATGCCTAATCCTTTAACATTTTTACTTTGGTAATTAAATTATTATTTTTATTTTATTTCTATACCTGCCTGGCTGCCTACTCAATTACTTTTGAGTAGGTACCTATACATAATACACTACTTGTTGTTACCCTCTACAACTTAATTGTACTTAATCTAATAAAGTACAGTTATTATTTTAAAAAACAAAATAAAATAGAATAATAGTACATTTAATTAACCTTTTTTTAAAATTATCTATTACTTAAGTCTAGGTAAAATATTACCCAATATATAAAAGTCGATTAGGTACAAATAATTTAGGATAAACAATTAAAATTATAAAAAAATATATAATAATTTAGGTATAACAAAAAAAAATTTAAATAATAATATCTAATGGTTAACTATATAGTAATAATTACTAATTATTATTATACCTATACTATGTTTAATATACTTAGTATTTCAATTATATAGCTAACCTATATTTTACATGTTATATAAAAAAAAAATAAACAATTTTTGATTCCCAATATTATTATTTAATTGCAATTTTTAAATAAATCTATACTGGAATGGTATTGAACCTGGGCCCATAAAATTAGTAGTATTATAATAAGGTATTAAAATCAGCTAAAATAAAATTGTTTTAAATTTTTTATTTTTTATTATTGATCAGTTAATTTTTGTTCCCGTACTATGTATATAAGTATTATAGCTAATGAGTTATATTAAATATATTTAAGTAATATTATAATTATTTATTATGTAAATAAGTAAAAACATTGTATGGAGGTCTCAATACGTTTTATTCTGATTTATGAGAAAATTATTCATAGGTCGTGATAACAAAAGTAATACATTTTGATAATCCTTAGTTATAAAAACTGAACATTTAAATTTTTTAAATTTTAATAATTAATAATTTTGATTTAGATTTTGATCAATATGGTCAAAATTCAAACTTTAAATGCTTATAAAAAAAATTGTGCCTATGTATTTTTTATGTTTTTTAATTACTATTGTAACAATATATCAGGAGCCTTGTATTACATTTTTACACTTTTTGGCCCAACAGATAAAACTTGATTGATATTCGTAGAAAAAAAATATTGAAAACTGAAAATGTCCGTAAACAGCTCAAAAAAGAGTCAAAATATATTTTTAAAATTGTATAGTGTATAGGAATTGGTAATAAAAACATTCAGTGAAAATTTCATGTATCTACAGTTATTCGTTTTTGAATTACAACAAAATAAGGAAATCGATATATGAGGAATCGAGTGAATATCCAATGTTGTAAAAATTTAAATTTCAAACGCTCATAAAAATTTAATTTGACTCAGCGGGGACGAAGGTGGTCTGTGCTGTGGCCGCTGAATCATACTTATGCTAATCGTAGCCTAAGCGTCATGGGTAAAACATATGGTGTTCTTTTTGACGAATTCTTATTGTTCCGTTATGATTAAAACCCATAAAAAAATACTAATTTGTAGTTCAGAAGTCGCTGCTTCCGAATCTGCAAAGAGTTTGCTTTTAAGTCGTAGGGTTTAGGTGGAAACTTAATTTTTCCGAGAGGGCGGCGGGCTGACGGAGAACATACTTGTTGTCCACGCGCTCTAGGTTGCGTCGTGGTACTGTGTCGTTCGCGTTCCGCTGTTGTAATGGGAAGTTTTGTGCGTGAGAGCGCTTGGATTTTGCGCGGTTCGCGAGTTCGATAACGAGAAACGAGAGTGCGCCACCTAAATGGTACAAACCGGATTGTCTCGTTGCATGCCTATGAGACACGAGGCGAACAGTGGACTACAATAGCCAAGCTCCAAGTGGCCGTCTTTCATCAGGGCTACTCAAACTATTTTCCCGCCTAAAATAATATCAAACTATATAATAAAGAATAATTTTTATTATTTCCAAAATACTTAATAATATTATTCCCAACATTTAAAATTTGATGACTAACTTTTGATTGGTACTATCACGGACTAAGATACCGGAAACGACATTGTGTGCGGGGCCCGGGGGGCGGCCACCAAAAGGTTCTTTTCACTTTTGCACTGGGCGTTAAATGTTTTGATCATTTTATTTCGCGTCACGTTTATATCTTAGTCTGTGTTTTATTGCGTAAACTCTCAATACACATTTCTCCCCCAACCCCACACTTTTCTCTTGTACATACATTCGTGGCCACTGTTAAGCTGCTCGTTTCCAGTCCATTATGATATCTTAGTCGGCGAGCTCTATACATTACCACCTGCCATTTTTAAAATTCGCACCATTTGTTCCCATATCTCTAAACGTTGGACCAATGAAAACTAGAAAAACGGCCACTTGGAGCGTGACAATCGCTGCTCACTTTTGGTCTCGCATACTATTATACCTAAATCCATGGTCTTAGAAGATAAGGTAGGACAACTATTCATTATCAGCATTCCACTTTGTTAGGAGAATTAATTTCCAAATGTTGCCACTGTACAATTGGGGCTGCCCTACAGACGTTTTTTTAGGCTTCATAAAAAGGAAATATTGTTATAGGTGGGGGGGGGGGGGGGGGGTGTGGGAAGTTGTCCGACCTTATCTTCTAAGATCGTGACCGAATCAATTCTATTACATGTTTTCTATACCGCAGCGTTATCTGGCGTTCGGGTCTGAAACCGGACTCAGCTATAGACAGAACGGTAGCCAATTCCTCTACAAAGTAATGACCGGTGCCCGAACGTATAGTATATATACCACCCAACCAGTACTAGTAACCACGGGGTCTGGCACGTGGAACTGCCCAATATCGCCGTATGGTGAAATATTATCGGGAGAACTGCCGATTTTCGATCTCAACACATTGATCTCTTAAAAATTAGAAATTAAATAATTGAACTTGTGCTGAGCCCACAACGTTCGTTCTATCGTAGTTTCACTTGCAATCCATCGACCCCAGCCAAACTTTTTTTGTCACTTCTCAGCAAAACAAAGTTGTCTTATTCCATTGTTCATCTTTTTATCATATCTCGATCTTCCTCGTATCATAAACTGCGTTATTTGTTACCTATTATTCTTAAGACCTTTTAAAATACTTGTCTAAAATTTTTTCAATATTTGTGAAAATATACCGATTAGCATAATAGCTCTTGACTCTTGTCGGTTAATTTTGTGTTTATAGTACCTATTTATCAAAGGTGGGCCGAGTTAATGAAAATAATTAACTATGCCAAGTTAATTCAATTAAATGGCCTTCAGTTAAAAGTTAAGAGTTAACAAAAAAAAATTAACTAGATAGGTTTAAAATTAAGATAAAACAAAAGTAAATAAAATGTTACGTAACTCAGATAAAAGTAGTTAGTTTTAAATTTTTTAAGTTACAATATTTTTAAGTTACAATATTTTTAAGTTTCTAAATATTAAATTTACAGTCTTCGAGTGTAATAAAACTTCAATACATTTTTTTTCAAACACCGACTGTGGAATGAAGTCCGTATATTATCATTTATCTACTAGTTTCTATTTTGTTTCAGTTGAAGTATAATTCAAATTTTGTCGAAAATGTTCGGGTTATTTTTAGTATATAAACCTCAACCACACACTTTGACTCTAATATATTATACTATATCTGATACTTAATTTTAAATTGATGTAGAATAGTTAAATTCAAAATGACAAAATATAGGTAATAAAAAAAAGATTATATCCAATCACATTAGGTACCTATGTTTTATTATCTATAGCTTATGGTAACCATTTTGAGGTATATATTTATATTTAGCCGTCGTCGGCGGTAAAATTGTTAGGTACTTACATAAGCCTAAAACAAATACTATATAAACGATAATTCGGGACACTCGACACGGGCGGTGTTTCCGAATTGCGGACAAAGTGACCAAAACCATGTGAGTTGCGGACGAAATCTAAAAAGGTAACATACGAATTGCGGACACAAATATAAGATACTAATTGCGGATAATGTTCCAATATTCACGTGGTGAAATCAGTAGAATATCATATAATATACAGGCTGTTTTAAAAACTATGACGATAATTAATAATGACGATAATCTATAAATATTTTATAAACAATTTTTTCCACAAAATTAAAACAATCTATAATTCAACAACATTTTAAAAATAACGATTGCTCTTTTGCAAGACACAAATATTTTTAACCCCACCTACCAATTTTTTTTTAGCTATTGTCATAAGTTCTGAAAAAGTGGTGAAGGGAAATATTTGTGTCCACAACTAACGTAGTTTTTATTAAAAAAAGCTCTGTACGCAATTAGTATTATGACAACGAAGCTCGTGTCCGCAATTGTTATATTATAATTCCTAACCTGAATAATTCGTCCGCAACTAGTATGTGTCCGACACGGGACTAATAAAAATAAAATAAATTGGCGTACTTTTGGGTAGTTAAGGTCCCTAACCCCATAATTGCCTCTATAGACTACCACAGAACCCGCTCGTTATCGCGAGGACTGGATCTGCCTCTGCATTGAGGTCCCCACACATTGCAGGGTTAAAAAACTATTGAGAAAATCGAAAACTGACCTCTCTAAAGTACCATCTTGATCCAATTTGCTAAAAGATAAGATACTATATTATGTTGAAATCGAATCTCTCCTTCTGGTAGACATTTTATTAACATGATAAAAAAAATAAACATCATGGTAAAACCACTACTTATATAGCAGATAGCTTCCTTGCTCTGCTCAGAATCTAATTTGCAATTAAAAAAATTTAAGGGCCACTTATCGAGATAAAATATAGCCTATAGATCCTTGGGATAGTGTAGATTTCCGATGGTAAAATTGTTTTTGAAATCGGTTATTCGGTTAAGTTGTTCCAGAGATTACCCTCAACAAACGAACGAACAAACAATTGCTCTTCTTTATATTTTATATTATATTAGTATAATATTATATCTAGAATATAGATTATAAAACTAATTGCGTGTATTATTACATTATTTTAGGGCTTAAAAGTTAAAACCATTCCCAATAAAGTCGGTAATCGGCTCGAAAATTTTTTAAAACCGGTAACTGATTATCATTTAGTTTTGATATTAAATGTAACCGGTAACCGTTTCTTTAAAGATATTTCAAACTTTATGATAACTGTCAATCGTCTAAAAATATTTAAAAAGGTTTTTTTTGTAATCGGTTACCGATTCAAACCGGTTTTTAAATATCATATTTTTTAAAACAGTTTATTTAGGTGATTCGAGGGTTGATAACATAACTATTATTATTGCAAAATCAAAAACTTTTTATGCTTTACTTTGTTCAATTTCACTCAATTTCAATATTTCTTTTTCAAACTGCTTTAAAATTTAAAACATACCTATGATCAAAATAATAACTCTCTTAAAAAATCAAAAAACTAAATTGCATAAAAAATATTTATTGTTATAATTTTACCATTATTTTTTAATTTAAACACTTTAAACATTAACCAAAAAGTGAAAACAATAAAATAATATCATTGACCAAAGTATAAAATGTGACAGTGTGACACGATATAATAACTACTTAAATTTCAGACTTTATTCTTGATTAAAATATCGTAAATAGTAGGTACTAACTACTAAATTTTAAAATATACTAAAATATAGACTAAGCCCCTATTCCACTAATATTTCGTAATAGGAATCCATTAATATACCAAGAAAAAACCGTTAACTATTTTGGTCGGGAATAGGTTTTAGTTATAAAACCGTGATTGAAAATACGAGGTACTTAACCGCATTGATGTTAATATTTAGATTTTAGATATTTACCTTGATTACCGATAAACAATAATCGCTTCCAGCAGTCCAAAACTAAAAGCGGTTATCGATTTTCGGTTCTCGGTTCTGGGTTCTCAAATTTACGGCTTTTTACCGGTTTTTGTTACAAACCGGTTGCCGGTTTTAAGCCCTGTATCATATGCCCATTTTGTATAAAAAGGTCAAATTCTCGAACACACGACGTCGCGAGAAACCCCCAAACACCTAGATGAAGGTAATAGCGTGACTTAAATATTTGCATCTGATATTATTCTCCAGCACTTATTTATTGTGTAAAGAACCATACAGGTTTTTAATTTTAACATCCAATTTTGATATAGGTATTTTCCGGAGACTGTTTTTACATTTATCTTATTTTTACGTTATTAGATGTGGGGTTTCGTCAGAACAGCAATCCGAGGCTTCATCCGATTTTTGTTTGGAATTAAAAATAGTTATACTACTTGGGTCCGGGATTATTTAAAGTAGGTACTACATTAGTTGGGTCCCGAATTATTTTAAAAATTACACTTTAGTTGGGTGCAATGGTGCGTAATAGTTTTTAGAGAGTACCTACTATACTATACTAACATTATTATTCCTATTTTAATGGACTTAGGATTGTCTATGACATATTTAGAGTGTAGACCAAGGTATTAAAAATAATTTTAATCCGTTTATTTATTTTTTTTAGTTTCTTTGCTCTTAAAAATATAAATCATAATAATTTTACAATTGATAATATGATGAAAATGTAAGTACAAAGAAAAATATTAAACATAAAGAAGGTGGGCAAGTGGGTGTTGCTCCGCTGTAAACAAACATATATTTATTAAAGACTCATTCGAAGATCAGAACTCAAAATTTTCCCTTGATTTATGCCATGCATTTTTGAAAACACTAAATTTAAACTTAGCCAAAACAAAGGACCTGTTGCTGAAAAAATCAACAACAAATTAAAAAATGTGTTAGAAAAAAATACCAGACTAAAATCTATGTTTAGGATAAGTAACATTTTGAATGGCAACAATCTAGGTGATGATTTCCCAAATATAACTCCTGGAGAAGTAACAAAATTTAAATATGAAAAATATACCTCGTGTGATGTTGAGCGAAGTTTTAGCAAATATAAAAATGTATTAAAGTCAAACAGAAGATCGTTTACTTTTGAAAATTTAAAGCATTATGTTTGATCATTGTTTCATGTAATTCATTTGAATAGATTAAATATATTTGGAGATAACAGATCTGTTTATAGATTTTAGAATTTTTTTTTTTTTAAGTGTTCATATGTATTATATTTTAGCATATTTTTTAATATTTTTAATAAAATAAATGCATATTTCATCTTTTTTTATTGCATATAGATCCTAGCCCTAATTATGACCATTGTCCATTGACATTATTTGTTTTTCGTCGTCGTAATTCCCGTTTTTATTACCTACTTAATATATTGTTTTAATTAAATGTTCGAAAATGATAATTGGAGTTCTACTGTATCACAAATCTGTTATTTTTATTAGACTGAGAGTCATAGAGACAAGACTACACGCATTTTATTTCTTATTTGAACTTAATTTTTTATTTTTTATTTTTGAAACAGTTGAAGATAACCATTTTATAGAGTTTGTTTTTGTGAAAATTTTGACTTTTCAACATTTTATTTCCATTAATCTCATGATTTTTAATATTTTTTTTAGTTTATAGGTAAAACAGCAAGAAACCGGTTTTTGTCCGGGTGTTGTACGTGAGTACGTGACTACTGTCAGAGTCCTCGACCGCTAATTGTCAGTGGCGTAGCCAGGATTTTAAAAAAGATCGTTCCACTCAGAATCTAAAAAAATAGCAAACACTGCCAAACTTATTAAAACCTTATAAAATAATCAAAAAAAAATTATATTTTACATTTCTAAATTTCACTTTTCGTGCTTTTTTGGTAGTATATAATTAAACTCCACTTTAGAAGGTTTAATTTTTTTTTATTAAGAGTTTACTAGTACGTATACCACACATGCGTTTGTTGTCTCCGTATACAAACCTATTACGATATGGCAAATTTTCGTTCACTAGTTTCAATAATGTGCTGTTAGTTTTTATATCAGAGTGAATGGTGATGGTCAATTATTAATATTTACTATGGACCTATTATTAAACTTTTAGTTTAGAACATTAGCTGTGCTTAAGCGTCGGCTTTTATTCGATATTTAAATTTCCAAGCAACATATGAAATATCACAAATTAAAAATTCTCTTATCCCGCATGAAAATTAAAATATGGAATAAAAGCAGACGCTTAAGTACAGATAATAATGTTCTTAACTAAAAGTTTAATAACAGGTCAAAACACTCTAATATAAAAACTCACAGCACACTATTTTAACTAGTGAACGAATATTTGCTATGTCGCTTCCATGTAAAACCGATAACAAAAGGATGGGTAACGTCCAGATATAATTTAAAAAAAATAAAATAAAATCGTTTAAAATGTAATTCAAGAAATAAATTTATATTTTCAATATGCTAAAATATTTTTTAGAAAAGAAAATTTCTCAGACTCATTATATTTATGTTTAATCATTAAACTGAATTAAAGATATTTTTTATCGATATCACTATCAAGCTAGTTGTTCAAATTACTCTATAATAATAGTGATAAATATCTAACATTAGATTATCAAAAATAGTCCGTAGGATTAAAACAAGTAAAATAAAATAGATACTTGTCGTGAACTGTGAAGATAATTTTTAAGACAATATTAGACTAATATTAATTATTTTTTCTTTTACTTAACTCCAAATAAGATTTAGAGGATTATGAATTAATTAATCAATTAATTAAATGAATGTATTTTTTTTTTAAATAGGTGAATAGTGAACAAACTATCTTAATGTTTATACATTATTTAAATTCAAATTTGATCGATAAAAACCAACGAATGTTAGTGACTTCTTGTATACTTACTAGATATTTAGTATTTACATTCTTATAAACAATTATTTTTTATAAAACTAGGTTACAAGTTACAACTTAATACTTATATTCATATATTATGAACCACAATTAAGTAAATTAATTTAATTTTGTATAATTATAATTAATTATAATTAGGAATTCACCGTACAACTGTTGTAGAAGTTCTTCCTTTCACTGACTAATATAAAATGACTAAATATTGAAATAGGATTATCTACCTACCTATACATATGACGACTGACGGGACTAAGGGAGTCTTTAAAATATAATAAATTTAGAATTTTAACTTTAACATACAGCTAATATTTAATAATAATTACCGATTTTCAAAACTACTATGTTGATAATTGACTGCGTGCCGAGATGGTTGTATAAGCAGCAGTATAAACAACTATCAACACAAATAAAAACACAATATTATCGGCTACTAACTGTTCTTAAAATATCATTCCGGGCCTAATATTACGTAATATTATGACGAGTTATTATTCTTAACTCTTAAGCACTTGTAAATGATAATTGTAATATTTGTATAATATACAATACCTACACTATAAAATAGTATATAGTCACTAATCACTATAATGGACTTCTAGTAATAAAACTATTTTGTGCATATTCTAGTAAAATGTAAATTATTAAGAATACCAATAAATAATAACACCATATATATATATACAGTATATCCCAAAAGTCCCGTATCACCCTTAATATCTCCATGTAAAATCACTATATTTAAACGCGGTTTTTTTTACAGTACTAAGTATGAAAATTCTGATTGAATGGCATAAAATTCATTTATTTTTTTCTTTAAATTCAAAAATTTTCAAAAAATTTTTTTACGCATTTAAGAATTTAAAATTTTTAAGATAGCCATTTTGTTGAGCATATTTTTTAATACAGTTCAAAAAAAAATACTAAAATTAAATAAAAATTGACCAAGTTAGAGCTAGTTATGTTTTTGAATAATTGTAGTAAAAAAATAAATTATTGTTTCACATTTCAATAATGAAATATCTAATTTCAGCACACGACAATACTTGTACATTCTTTTTTTTTTTTTTTTCTTTATTAATATTAAATACACAATCTGTACCTCAAGGGTACAACAAGAGTATTAGCTAAAATATAAACAAACAAAATAACATGAAAAGCTTGATAAAAGCAGCCACCCAGTGATGACACTTAAAAATTGAGGTTATAATTAGGTTTTCTCATAGACACACAATATGTTTATTGATTAATTTTTTTTTTTTTTTTTTTTTTTTTAAATTTAAAATTATGATATTAAGTCAGCATATCTCTGCACCAGTTGCGTTTTAGTCGCCTAGGAGGATTTCCCGGAATAACATTTGATGAGAGTGTTTTGACTAAAGGATTTGAGTGAGTTGCAAGCCTTTTATGAAATCTTTTATAATAAATAGCAGCTACTTCTTTAATAGTTTTAATTTTTAGGTCTGTGTGGAGAGTATGATTGGAAACATATGGGGGGGAGTTTGTTAATTTTCTTAATGTTATGTTTTGAAAAGTCTGAATGCGATTTGTATTTGATTTTTTTGCGTTTCCCCACAGTTGGATACCGTAGGTCCAAATGGGTTTAATGAGGGATTTGTACATTAGTAGTATTATATTAAGGTTGGTGTGTTTGTTATTGACTAGTAGAGATTTAAGCATACGAAGTCGGAGATTTAGTTGGAGTCTTTTAACACGTGTATGTTGTGCCCATGTTAGTCTACGGTCAAGGGTTAAGCCAAGATACTTGACTGTCGGAGTGGACGGAATTTGCGTACCAAAGAGAGTGACTGGCGGGCAGTGTCCTAGCTTAAGGGTAAACGTAGTGTGATTAGTTTTGGTTTGATTAATCTTAATCCTCCAATTCTTGTACCAGGTTTCCATAAGAGAAAGATGATTCTGTAGATTAAGCGATGCTACAAAGGGGTTTTCACTTGTAGATATGATGAGTTTGTCATCTGCATAGTCTGCCACAATGGTGTTGACGGATGTTGGTTGATCAGAAGCATATAAGTTATATAGTAATGGAGAAAGGATACCCCCTTGAGGCACACCAGCTCTGATGTTAGCAATGTTTGAGTATGCAGATTTAAAATGAACTTGAAAATAACGATCAGTTAAATAAGATTTAAGTAGCATGTAGTATGTTGGGGGCAGTGTTGGGTAGTAACGTAACGAAAGTAACGCGTTACTGTAACGCCGTTACTTTGTTTGTAACGCGTTACGTAATTTAATTACAATTATTTTCAAATAACGAAAATGTAATGAAAATTACTTTTGATGAGTAATTTACATAGTATAACGCGTTACAGTTTTAAATTATTTAGTACCTATTGCGAATTTCAAAAAAAAAAAAAACTTAAAAATATAATGTCTAATGCGGGTATTATTTATCATACAAGTGGTTAATTATTATACGTTCCTAATGTTCTTATTAACTATTGTCTATTATTAAGCATAAACTATACGTCTGTACATGCACTAAAAATAAATATTGATGGATAACCAATGATAAATCGAATTATTTACATTGCAGTGTTATAAATAATTATTATTGCTGTTTGGCATTTTACAAGAAACGGTGAAAATAATAAACTTATCTAATATCTTTATTAATAATGACTAATGACTTTATTAATGCCATGAGTAATGACCGAATATTCATATGTACAATTTATTACTACTATTTTTAATAGTTATAACTTAAAAGTTATAAGTAATTAATATTGTTAGGTATGTATTTATGTTATTAACTGTAGGTACATCTTTTTCAAATTATACCATATCTTCTGTAGGAAGTGTATTTCTAGTTCCTTTGCTTTTTAAATGATAATAGCTAAGCAATTAAAAAAAAAATTATAAAAAAAAAAATGTAACGAGAAAGTAACGTAGTTACTTTTCTATTTGAAAAGTAAAGTAATTTCATTACAATTTTATTTGAGTAACGAGTAAAGTAACTTCATTACATTTCTCTCTAAGTAACGAGTAAAGTAACTTTATTACTTTTTAAAAGTAATTTACCCAACACTGGTTGGGGGCAAAAAGGACTTTACCTTGTACAGCAGCCCTTCATGCCATACACGGTCAAAGGCCTGTTGAATGTCAAGAAATACACAAGAACAATACATTTTTTTTTCAAGTGCGAAAGAAATCGAATCAACTAGCCTGTGTACTTGATGGATTGTAGAATGATGTGCGCGAAAACCGA